AATTACAGTATTCAACAAGTTTAATTATTTTAACATTCACTCCAAATAATGGAAGAAAATAACGAATGAGGACAGAAAACATCTTGATTGCATTGCGATTGGAAGCGTCGGTCGGAAAGCAAATGAATCTTTCTGTAAATCAGACTACAGGCATTTCAATGCATATGGTGCAAAAACATTGGTTATTATCGCTTTACTTTTTGTTCTTGAACACGACAATTTTTTCATTAGGGAACAAGTTAGAACTATTTTGGTTGCGCAGTCGTTTGGCCTAGAATAAAGGGTTTGAAAAAAATTTAATCGGACGATAACTGCTGTTTTATAAATGATTTTTTGAATAACAAACCTGAAACGTGAGTCTCATCAATTGTGTGGTACGCCCACACGCTTTCCATCGTCGATAGATTCAAATCTGGTTTCTCTCCGATGAAAAAATCTGATATGATTGAAGTGGAGCATTTGCGCTTCTTTGTCTTCAAATGATTTTCAATCCCTCCACCAGCAACAACTGAAAAAGTTGCATTGCATTTGTCGCAACGAACACTCAAAAAAGTATAGGTGACGGTTACGTTCTCACCGGCATCATTTTTGAAGAAATAAGGACCGATGATTTCATCGGCCCACAAACTACACCAAACAGTTGTTTTTTCTGGATGAAATGGCAGCTCTTAAATTTCTTCAGAATGGAGCCAGAAATGGGCCTCATCGCCGAACAAAATTTGGCTCGAAAACGTCGGATCTTCTTGGAACTTTTTAAGAGCCCAGGGTAGCGCACCTCAAAGCCTCAATTCGTGATAAATTGTATCCTGATACATTCGTTGGTGCTTGAGTTGCATACTATAAAGTGAAAGAATCAGATGGAATTTGAATTTTTGTGATATGGGAAGAAGAAGGCGTGGTTGTAGCCCGATTTCACCCATTTTCGCACCAAAATGAAGGAATGTGAAGATAATATAATATTACATACTTTTGGTCGATATCGGTAGAGTAGTTCCCGAGATATGGGTTTTCACCGAAATGTGTGCGGTTCCATGCCCATCGTCCAATTTTGACATTAAACATCTTAGGTGGCAAGGCCAAGCCCAATTTAAAAAAAAATTTAACCCTCAGGAGCATCCTGTACTAAATTACACTTTTATATTATATCTTAATTTAGTGCTTAGTTATGGCACTTTATAAAATTTCGCTAAACTGCGTTTTGTGGGCGCGGCAGTAGACCTAACTTTTTTGCCAAGAAACACGTATACCAAGTTTCACCACGATATCTCAATTTTTACTCAAGTTACAGCTTGCAAAGACAGGCGAGCGGACGGACAGGCAGATAGATCTGGATTTTAACTGGTCTCGACATCCTGATCATTTATACATATACCAGGTGCATACCTAGGTATGAAGTGAGCGTTAAGAAACAAACGAACGAGTCTTAATTTTTTTGTTTGGTTGGCATGACATCTGTCAAACATATTCAATAACCTTACAGTCATACAATACTTACAGTGTTGAAAATGTTAAATTATATACCGGAAAGTGATGATTTGCTGAAAACTTTAATTTTTTGTTTCCCTTTAAAAAAAAATGCAGCTGAGTCGCATCGAATACTTGTCGAGGCATATGGTGAAGATGCTCTACCAGAAGCAACATGCAAATGATGGTTTCAACGGTTCAGATATAATGATTTTGATGTAAGAAATGAAGAACGTAGAAGACCACCAAAAAAGTTTGAAGACTCCGAACTGCAAGCAATATTGTATGATCAGATGATACTTTGAGTCATAAGCAAATGGCAGCCATGTTAAATGTTGCACAACGAACAATTTCAGACCGTTTAAAAGCTGTGGGAAATATCCAAAAGTATGGAAAATGGGTGTCACATGAATTAAATGAAAGACCAATGGAAAACCGAATAAACACTTGTTAAATTTTGCTTTTAAGACACGAAAGAATATCAGTTTTGCATCGAATTATCAGTGGCAGATGAAAAATGGATTTATTTTAAGAATCCTTAATTTAGAAAATCATAGGTTAATCCAGGACAGCCATCAACATCGACTGCAAAAACAGATCGATTCGTTAAGAAAGCAATGCTCTGTGTTTGGTGGGATCAGAAGGGTGTGGTATGCCATGAGCTTTTAAAACCTGGTGAAACTGTTAATACTAATCGCTACAGATAACAAATAATCAATTTAAACCATACATTGATCGAAAAACGGCCAGAATGGGCCAGAAGGCACGACAAAATTCAGGATACCATCAAATTACTTGGCTGGGAGCTGCAACCCCACCTGCCGTATTTACCAGACTTCGCACCTTCCGATCCATTTGTTTTCATCGATGGTACACGTATTGGCTGAGCAGCACTTCGATTCCTACGCAGAAGTCGAAAATTCGATGCCTGATTGGTTTGCTTCAAAAGGTGAACATTTCTATTGGCACAAATTGACAAAAAGCTGGTCAGAATCTGCAAAAAGCAATAAATAATACCTTTTTAATTTTTGTTTACTTTCCCATTCAAAATTAGTATTTCATTTTCATAAAAACCGCTCATTCCATACCGGTACACTTGGTATATATAATATAACTCCTTATCTATCTCGATTAGTTTTGGGTAACACAAACAACCGTTAGGTGAACAAAACTTATACTCTGTAGTAACATGTTGCAAGAGTATAAAAATGTTGCGAAAGAATCAGCGAATAAATTACAATCAAATTTGGTCACTTCTTGACTTATATCGAAGATCATTATCTCAGACTTAATTTAAATGCTTTATTTTAGCGTTAACCCTAAAACCTATCTCGATTAGTTTTTGGTGATACAAACAACCGCTAGGTGAACTAAACTTATACTCTGTAGCAACATGTTACAATAGTATAAAAATGTAGCGAAAGGGTTCAACTTCATTGTTCGTCGAAATCGTGAATGGATTACAATCAAATTTGGTATCATATTAACTTATTTTGAAGGACAAAGACTCATTTAGATTAATTACTATATTTTACTTCCCGCTAACGAAAATTTCACTAACATCATACTCAAATGAGATATACATATGTGATATAAACATAACCGAAGAGGCTAAATTTAATATATTGAATTGATGTGAAAAACGTCAGCCAGAAGATCGAAATTCAGAATATTAGGGATATGTGATTTAGACCAAAACCTATTTCATTTAGGGCCAAACCAATAACATAATCTTCATAATATCACACATTTTGACCTACATAAACGGTTTAAAGTTAGGTAGAAAGTCGAAAATGGTTATGTAGGATATATTGGGGGCAAAGAAATGGAATGCATTACTTTTTAATATTACTCAGGTATACTTGAGATCTCATTTTCCAGCAGTTTAAAAAATATAAATAAGTATAGATTATGGTCAGCCGGTCGTTTCAAAATACTGAATATCAGTTATATGGGAGCTAAGACAAGTTTTCGTACGATTTTATCCATTTTAGACACAAAGTTACACTGTTATTAGAAAAGTACGCTCTTTCATTAAAATAACTCCTATATTTACCATTGAATTACTCGCTATTGAATTTCAAATTTCGAAAGACACGGTAGCCTTAAGTGAAAGGTTTGACGTGTTGCTTAATTAGTTATTTGTTGAAATAAATAGAAATTTCAGTTTTACTTGCGATGTTATAGAAAAGTGCTTTTTCTGTAGAAATAACTGATTCCTGGAAGGTTGGTTAATGCTGATTTGTTTTCCGTCAACACACCGAAGTAATACAAATGGAAAAGGATGGAAACGGAGTGCTTGAAAATTTTCCATGACAATCGGTTGCTGCGATTCAGAGGATGGAAGTTTTATAACACGAGCATTTAATTTTGTCAAAATTGTTTTAGAAAGAATCGATAAACAGTTTCCAGAACAATATTAAGTATATTCCATAATTCTCGAAAACTATTTTGATTTCCCAGTCTCCAAAGTGTTATGTGCATCTGTCAGGCCAGAAAGAACGTACCATTTAGCAAAGAAAATTAAACTATATACAAACATATATTCTTATATATATTACCTCGACTGTATCTATTCGCATCCTCAAGCGATTATAGAAAATATCGATTGATATCTCTTTTATATACATATTTAATTTTTTGTATTTTGGTACTTTTGGTAAAATCTATCCTTCGCATAATGCCATGAGTCGTTGGATGATTTATTTTAATTATTTAAAAAAGCAGCATTACTTTACCTTTATTACTTTAGTAATAAAAATTTTAGCGGTCGCCGAAATAACAAATTTTTCTACTTGTAAAACAGATTCCATTTTGTATTGCATAAACTGTGTTCCTAAACATGTTGCCACCCTGATTTATGCACTGTATCATCAGAGCAAACTGACGTCTATGAAGTCAGCCGTATAGTGTACGACATGTTTCCACGCAATTTTATGAATATAACTCACACACTGACCGTCATATTCGGCATAATGCATATACCACACATATGTAGCAATTTTGGTTTAGTAGTTGGTGAGATATGTCCTTAAATCTTATTAGGGAGCCGGATTACGCCGTTTCTTCACCAATTTTCGAACCATTAATGCTCCTTTCTACTATTATTTGCCTCACCATATTACAGTTTTGTATCTTACTTAGCGGTTTAGTTACGTAATTTTTTCGTTTAACGGCATGTTATGGGCGTGGCAGTGGTGCGTTTCCGCCCATCTACATAACCAACATTACTTGCTAGCAGAGAACACGTGTGCCAATTTTCATCGCAATTATCAATTTTTACTCAAGTTCTTGCATTAAAGGGTGGACATTTAATTACTCGGAATTTAACTCCTCTCATCATCCTGATCACTTATATATTATATAAATATTATACTATTCTATATATATCGCTATTGTCTCCTCTTGTTAAATATTGTATAATGTTAGCGAATTTGTTGGGATATGGTTAATTTCCTACCCGCCGTTTTTTAGCTCTTCTGCGACCTATGGTTTCGCTACCATATTGAACCAAACTCATGAAATAACAACCGAAATGAAATAGTAACTCACAATATAGTTTATTTTTGTTACAAATGTGTAGATATAAATGTACAGATTTACTTAAATAAATTTGATTCGATATTAAAATTCCCATGATGAAAGCCATCTAAGTCCATACATTGTGGAGTTGGGTTCATTCGACAACGGTCCGCTCATACCATAGGCGAGGGGTGAAAATAATTTAAAACTATAGGCTAGTCCCGAGATCATTCCACCAAGCAATGTATGATGCATCCATTTCGGCAAGTGGCTTAATACGTAGTTAAACATAACACCTGTAAGTAGTGTGGAAAATGTTAACAATTATGAGTGTGTATATACAAGTGTAGTATATTGAATATAACATATCATCAATTCCATGACATTCTTAAATTAAGTAATTTTTGAACAACCTTCCTAAATAGTATAAGTAAGGAAGGCCTAATTTCGGGTGTAACCAAATATTTTATACTTTCGAAGTTTGCAAAGCTCAAAGGCGTAAAAATACGTTCAGCTGTTATCAAAACTTTATATCAAACAAGGAACTCCTTCCTCGAACTCAGTTCAAGTAAAACCGAAAGCTTTCCACTCACGCAATTTTCAAGAATCTAAGCCGGTCAAATATGAGGATTGCCATTTATATTTCGGGATTAGAGTACAAAAACAATTATTGAACATCGAAATCGGTTTATTGTTTTACAAAATATTCTCTTTGGAAACTCTGATTGTGGTTTCTCCAAAACTTGAGTTCTGAACGCATCAACCGCCTTTTCAGGTATCGAAAAACGTTGTCCTCTTAGTTTAGTTTTTACGTACGGGAACAAAAAGAAATCATTCGGTGCCAAGGCAGGATCATTATGAGTCATCAAATTGATGTTTTGAGTGCCAAAAAATACAATTTTTTCAGTCGATGCTCACATTGTCGATCAATAATTCCGATTTCGTCAGAATGACTACAAATGCATTTTTGGCAAAGTAAACACAAAGTGCCAGCGACCCGTATTTCCAAATGTCGCTGACACAACCTCAATATACATATGTATTCCCAACTTTCAAATTCATTTGCATTATCAAATCACATATTTAGCTAAGTAAGCATTATTGTAGAATATAAGCGAATAATAGTAATATAAAGGGAGAGAATGTAAAATAAAGTGTAACCATTAACATCATTCGACCTAATTCGCGCGAACAACTTTTGTTAAATTCGGCTCATCTGGAAACGCCTATACAGTCGGCTGCTGTTTGCTTTCGGACCAGGGATCGAATTTGACAATTTTTAATTGTGCCGGATTTGGTCTCAAAAATTTGCGAAAATGTAGTTGAGTGTGCAGGCAATTTCAAATTTTCTATAAAAAGAATTTCTTTTGAAACAACTCATTAACAAAAAAAACAGTAAATGTAGTTTTAAAGCGTGTATATTAATTTTATTTAAAATACAAAATGTGTAATACTATTTATGTGTATACGAGTATAAAAATAAGAACCTTTATATTACAAAATGTTGCGAAAGAAATCAACATTCATTATTCGATGAAATCGTGAATGGATAACAATCAATTTGGTATCTTATTAACTTATATTAAAAGTCAGTCTGTTAGTTTTAATAATATATTTTAATCGCGTCAGCGAAAATTATCAATTATCATTAATCATCTTTAAACATATCTATATCTGATATAAACTCAACCGAAAAGGTATTGAGTTGATGTGCAAAACGTCGGAATTGATTTTATTAGGGATATAAGCTTTCGACCAGGAAACGCTAAGCCACATAATTTTTAGGAAAACTTGGCGTGGTACTCTGTAGCAACGTGTTGCAAGGCTATAAAAATAATACGTGCATTGTAGAAAATCCCACAATTTTACATTTACCTATCCAATGTGCTAAAAATACGCACTTGCCGCTTTACTATTCTTTAGATATACAGTCATTGACAGAGCAATAGCACACTTTGAGCATGTAAAAAAACGACGTTTATTATTAATACGCATAGAAAACAAATTGATTTTTTCGATTAGCCACTATGATGAGTTACGCCTCCCCCTCCAAACACGCCACTGATCGCCAACACACCACATCAACACAATCCACAAGACGACTCCACACACAAACACACTCCACCCCTGCAGACATCACACCACGCAGATCATCAACACATACACATCACATCACACCAAAACTCTACACAACCCAACACTCAAAAGGGACTAACACAGGACTAGAGCCCCTTCTTTCTTTTCGCTTTTCGAGGTGTTAAGACCATGCCGACCGCAGCATCGCTTCGCCCGAGTACCCTAAGTGGAATTTTAAGTGCAATCGAGTACATTATTCATGGTCCTTCGAGCCATAGTGAGCGGCACTATGGAGTACAAAAATAACAAAAAAATTTTAAAAATCTAAGAAGAATAAAAACAAATATATATAAGTGACTATAAAGTGCTGTGAAGTGGAATAACACATAGGTATATACATATACCAAACAAAAAAAAAAAGAGGAAAACAAAAAGAAAAAAGAATCTATATATACAAGTGACTGAAAAGTGCTGTGCAGTGAAAAGAAAAACATATACACATAGAAAACAAAAAAAAAGTGCTAAAAACAGCACACGCACAAGCACATATGTATATAACATTTGTCCCAAAACCCCTTGGCGGAAGTCTAAGTGAGTCGTATCGATTCCCTTTAGTATTTGTATTTTTTCTAAGATTACATTAGTCCAAGAGTCAGTAACAGAAATATACAAGTATGACCAAGTTCCTCTCAGGTGATAATTAGTAAAATGCATCAGAAAATCGAACCATAAAGCCTCGTCAGCTGAGGCTCGGTGGGGGGGATGAATGTGTGCAGCAAAAAATACATTCACTCATTTCCTCTCGGCTAAAAATTTATCAAATTATAGCTAAGCTAATATCGCAAAAAAAAAATAGTCAGCTGGCAATAACATTAAGTATTGTACATTTGATTACATACGAATAAATTTAAAAAATATTGATACGGAATATTTGATTCACCCTAACACTCAAAATGGAGTGCTATGCCGAATAATTAAAGAGACGGCATCTCGTTGGCAACAAGTTTACGAACAAAACGGCGCATATTTGACTTAAATCGGACAAACGTACACATAGTTATCATATTTTGAAAAATCAATAAAAAACCGAACTTTTTACTGTACAAAGTGCATTGATCTCTAAGACGAGCTCTCAATTGAGCTCAAAATAACGACAAGTACATATGTATCAGCTGATCCGCTTATAGGTATACCCTGTAGGATTTACGGACGCATAATACATACAAATAAAATTAAAAATAAACACGTTTGCGTTTATTAATAATCGATTAAATAATATTAAATTAAAAAAAACATTTTTTTTAATATATAAGCGATAAAACACAAAATACGTGTAATTTGTTCATTTAATTGGAATTAAAAACTCTTATTATCTTAAAAGAGTTCAGGTACTCATACCAGTTTAAAAACGTCATTGATTTACTAACTTTTTCAAAAAAAAAACTTTTTTTTCTTAGAAGAGTTTTCAAACATATACATATATTTCTTACATTGAAAATTCCTTAATTTATTTCCGCATACCTTTTTAAATGAGCTCAGACTCAAAAAAACTAAAAATATCTTAGTTGTAAAAAGTACCAAAAATGAATTCGGACGAAGAAAGTCCATGTACACCTGCAGAACCTACACGCTCAAAGCAAGTTGCTACAAAAAAGGGGGAAAGACATTACATACAGCAAATTCATTGCTGAGAGTGACAGTTTAATAAGATACTGCACTCGATTTTCATCTTCGCCGATTCAGGACAATTCTGAATCGGTATTAGAAATCAAAAAGGAAAATCTTAATAGTTTCTAGACACGTCTCCAAGCTGCATATGACGCATTAGTGATGACGACTCAGATCTACCTGAAAATTTTATATCCTCGGCTTACGCCAAAAGAAATTTTTCATGGTGGTTATGAACAATGGCCGTCCTTCCGGGACATGTTTACAGCCGTTTACATAAACCACCCAAAACTATCAAATGCACAACAATTGTATCCCCTCCGATACAAAACAAAAGGTCAAGCAGGCGTAATAGTCAAACAGTTCGCCCTAAATGACGATACTTTCAATTTAGCTTGGGAAGCTCTTAAATCAGGATACGAAAACGAAAGAATCTTGGTCGATAAACAAATATCGATACTAATGAACTTGCCAAAAATTCAAAAGGAAACAGGTGAAGAATTTATCAAACTTCAATCCACTGTTTCAAATTGTTTGTCGGTTTTATTGACACAGAATATTCCCACAGATAGCTGGGACCCTATACTGATAAATATAAGCACCGCCGCATTACCTGAAAAATCATTACTTTTGTGGGAGCAATCGCTCTCATCACGAAGAAAATGCTCCACATGGCAACAAATGAAAGATTTCTTAACTACCCAAGGGTAGACAAAAAATTGTCAGAACAAAAATTGCTCAACACGACCTAAATAGAAGCTTCAATAGACCCCAAGCCAGTAGCAATAACAATTTAAAAATCAATCTTTCACATCCAAACAACACAAACAAACGTCATGCGAACTGTGTACAGGAGGGCATAACCTCAAATATTGCGAGAAGTTCAAAAAATTGAATATTTTCTACCGAAATAATTTTTTAAAAACAAAAATAATTTGTACAGATTGTCTGTCACATGTGCATACACTTAAAAAGTGCGAAAGCAAATTTAATTGCGTTTATCGACAATTTTTTTATCAAACGACATCATTCAATGCTTCATTATAACAATTTTTCCAGCTCACCCCCAAGCAGCGCAAATATGAATAGAGCCACGGGTTTAGTTGCAACAGCAAGTCCTGAAGTGCGAAATCCCGAAAATTGCATAGAAGCACCATGCTGTTCAAAGGCATTAAAACCCCAAACGCTACATAGCGATAATCACACACCGAAAATCAAAGTAGGCTACTACTACCCACAGCAGTCGTCTCCATCGAACACCGAGGAGAACTGCTTAAAGTTAGGGCATTAATAGACCAAAGATCACAACGATCATTTATAGCGTCTAGGGCACAAAACAGGCTACAACTGCCAACAAAACAAGCCAACTTTGAAATTACAGGAATGGGTGGAAGAGTAGTGCGAAACTCTAATAAAATCTGCCCCATTACCTTAATTTCTCCCCAAGCGGATAAGCACATACAAGCAGAAGCTAGTCTTACCGCAACAAACAAACATGCTTACATGCTATCACGTAAATAGCAAGGATTGGCAAATGGTTTCAGCCCCAAAG